AGGAAGTCCTGAATCCACAAATATAAATAGGGATTGACATTCATACCGAAAAGTTTATTTAACAGCAGATTAGGCTTAATAGTATTAAAATGACTTGTCCCTAATTCTTTTAAAAATTACTGTACTTTAATAATAATTTGAATGAAAACAGTCATATTCATTTAAATGTATTAACACTTTAATACAAATTTTACATTTGAATCTCCATAAAGTTTGGAAGTTAAGTATTGTGTTTACATTATTGAAATAACGACACACTTTAGGCACAGTGAAGAAAGTATAATACATACTCCAAGTATTGAAATACACGCCATCGTGTTGGGATTCAATATTTCGACATTAATTATGTCATCATCAGGAATGAAGCACAGTGGTTGCTGAAATCTAAAATGCTTATTAACCTTCCTGCATGTTGTCAAAAGAATTAATGAATTAAGGGCGTATAATAGGAAGTTAATATCCTATTGTAAAGCTAGATAGAAACAAGCCCACCCAACATTGTCCACCACACAGACCTCCCCATGGTATAGTCCATTTTGGGTGGTTTATGTCCGGGTTGTGTATTGTCCTGGGTGGTTTTGTCTGATTTCTGTTTATTGATAAGACAAGGATTTACAATTAATTATTTACTATTCATTACTACATATATTCTTGACAATTACTGTAGGCAACATATATAAGAGCCTATATAATAATTATGTGACATTTGATTAAGATTTATTTATTTAACATACTTTCATTACTATTGATGGTTATCATATTGTGATAATTTGTAATACCGAAAGGTCCACTGAATAATCTCAGATAAGATAGTATAATACATATTTCAACATTAGAGAGAGCAGCTTAGCTCATAGAGAGAGCAGCTTAGCTCAGTCGGCTAATCTGATGGTAGCCGCTGTGTGTGCGCTGGACCGTGGAGATCTCTAGGTCCGCGGTTCAATTCCCATCGCTGCCTCTCTTTGTGTTTCAGCTAGAGGGCTGAAATACAAGTTACAATAGCGCACCGTCTTTCGGATGAAACGTTTAAGCCGTTGGTACTGTGTGCATTATGGCCCATGTGCACGTTAAAGAACGCAGTACACTCTTCGGAAAAGAGTAGGGGATTGTCTCCCGGTGTACTGCCCAATCACCACCAGAAGGACACCACTGGAAATAAGTCTTCTTCTAGACTTTCGTGGGCTATCCTTGGTGTTTACACCGAATAAATCCAATAGGTGTCGGGATTCAATATTTCAACATTATTACAGCATGTCATCATCAGCAATGATGATGATATACTGTAATTAATGTCGAAATATTGAATCCCGACACGATGGCGTGCATTTCGATACTTGGAGTATGTATTATACTATCTTGTATTATAATGCAATGATTATATTTATTTTTCGTCAATAGCACACCTTTAATTAATTCAATTTCTTTTGATAAAATGTTTTAATTCCTTTAAAATGTTGTGGTATTTTATTTTTTGTGTTGTTTGCATTTAAAAAAATGAGAAAGAGAAATAAAACTGTAATTGAATCAGAGAGCAGTGAAAATTACTTCACTTTTAATTGACTGAAAAAAATACATTTCTAGAAACCATCAAGGCTACTCCCAATTTTACTATTCAAATTCATAAATCACACATGGTACTGGTATTGTGATATTATTTAGTTGTAAGAAAAAAGGGAAAATAATAATAATATGGTAACACATGATACTAGATAAATGATACATTTTGACTGAAAAAAGACATTTCTATTAACGACTCGACTGCATAATTAAGGGAACTTCATCATTTACCCCTTGTGTTATTTTTCATTTCGAGTACTGAATGTATATGTCTAATTTAGGCTACTCCCAGTTTCTATTTATAATACACGAAATAATGAATTAGTAGGTCTGATACAAACAACTCATTGCAGCCTAAACCTGTTATAGAGCAATATCAAGACAAACAGCACATTGTGCACCCCTACTTTACAATGGTATTGTCCATTGCTGGGTGGCTTTAGACGGGTGGCCTTGGACAGGGGTGGCATAAGTCCTACATTCATTTCTCAGGCGATCGGCGGTCCGTTAGATTTCGAAACGTTTTCATCCTTCCTGATGAGTCAAACCCTGTCCTGACTATCAGATTTTACTTGACAAAAGCATGTGACATGCCTAAGTCTTATCATGATGACATCACATCATGGCCATATATAGATCATGCGTCAGCTTCGTACGACATAGCCGACGCGATTCATGGGGGGGGGGGGAAGTCTTAAGCAGTCATGAGAAATAATACCGTATTCTCGCTCGTTTATAAGGCGACCTGCGTAAAAAACGACCACCGAATTTGAGGGGGTTTGGACTATTTTTGTATGTCAGGCGTTTTTTTTTTCCGAGATTTTTTTCGAGCTTTTCTTAAGAAACATTTTGTTTTAATTGCAATTATGTTAATAGGCCTAATTACGTTGTTTGATATCTTTTTTTTTCCATTATATTTGATCATTCTTTTAATTGTTTTACTGTATTTTAATGCGAGAACTGAATTTCCGACTTGGAGCAATAAAGTGTATCTTATCTTATCTTATCTGCTTTTCTCCTTGTTTTAATCTTGTTTTCTTAATAATTTGTAACCTTTTTCCTAGGACCTTTTTCTAGTTTTAAATGTCTTTCTTATCGATTTTTGTCCTTGTTCCTTCTGGAATTTTATGTCTGTACAGTTGATTATTGATCAAATAAATGAATGAGTGAATGAATGAAAGACGACCACCCCCCCCCCCCCCGATTCATCGGTGGAATTCATAATATTCACTGATCTTTGTACAGAATACAGAACTTGTATTGGTCTTGTGAAAGTAAAAATACTGTACAAGAAATTAATTCGTTGTTTGAAAACCTTATAGGCTACAAAACTGCGTTATGGTCTTGATGCTGCATCTAGCTGGATAAAAACAGAGCCAAGTAAGGCTAATCTTCCAATAATACAATTTTATCGGCTTTTTAAATAATAATCAACATCTTATCTCCCTGATTTAAAATTGCGTTCATCCATACTAACATTTTGTGGTTCATTAGTAGTAAATGTACATGTTACGGACGATCCGCACACATTAAGACGGACATGATTTCAAAAATATAATATTTGTATGTTGCGCGTATTATGGTGTTAGGAACAAGTCTCGTGACATCAGCAGATGACCATAATCCACTACGACGGGAATCAAATCTGTGAATAAGATCTTTTAAATAAGAGGGAGCAGATCCATAGAAACAACTGTGCACTTTATTATTATCATCATCATCATCGTCATCGTCGTCGTCGTCGTCATCGTCATCATCATCATTATTATTATTATTACTATTATTATTATTATTAAATTATTGTTGTTGTTGTTGATGTTGTTTGTATTATTATTAATTATATTATTATTATTGTTATTATTATTATTACTATTATTATTATTATCATTATTATCATTATTATTATTATTGATGTTGTTATAAAAGATGTAAGAATGCAACAATAATTAACATTATTAACAATAATAACAATAATTAACATTATTTTTACTATTCAAACCAATTACGCACGCCCACCCATACTGTAGCATTGGATTGAATTTATTCGGTGATAGCCCATGAAAATCTAAAGGAAGACTTATTTAGAGTGGGGTCCTTCTGGTGGTGATTAGACAGAACATCGGAAGGCAATCCCCTACTATTTTTGAAAATTGTAAATTAAAAAGTTCACTAACAGAGTATATCAGATACAAAGACAGACGTATATTTGAACCATATCTACTAGACAAAATAAATTTCAAAGGAATAAAATTCAAAACACGAACTAATTATCTAAACCTAGAGGGTAAAAAGCAGACATGGTCTGCACAAAACAACGGTTTTTATAAATTATGCTCCCGAAATTTAAAAGAAACAACCGACCATTTTTTATTTATTTGTGATAAAATCCAGCCATTTAGAGAAAAGGTTTATATTGATTTAAAAAAATGATCTTGTTAAATGGGGATTAGGTGAATTTTGGGGATCCTTTATAACCGGATTGTTAGATTATAAACATCATTTATTTCTCGATAATCTTTATGACCAATTTGGTAACCATAAATTAGCAGAAATATTTGATAATTATTGTAAGGTATTTATCGAAAATATAAATCCATGGCCACATTACCACCCGTTACACTTTAATTAGTTTTTGTATTTCTTTTTTAATCTGTTAATATGAACCTTTATGATCAGTTCTAAGCTCTATATTTTGCTATAAATACCTTGTAAAATGTAAAGTATAAATTTAATTACTGTAGTTTTATTATTATTAATTAGTGTTTTTATTCCCTTTAAATGTGTTACTGTAGTAAATATGAACCCATATTTGGTCTATTAGTTCTAGCTCTATATTAACTTACAATTCATACTGCAACTCTGCAATAATATGGTACTGTTAGACTACCTTACCACAGATAGGCCTACATGCCATGTTGATAAATTTTATTTTGCATATACATTTTAGTTTAATTTACACTTACTTTATGTTTATATTTTTTTTTTCTTATATTTGGATGCACCGTTGAGATTTCAACGTGTGCCACTGTTACGAAAGTGATATTTTTTAAATTGAGTTGAATTGAATTGAATACTCTTTTCCGAAGAGTGTACGGTAACTCATGCACATGGGCCATAAATCGTCGCACTATACATAAATGCACACGGGACCACCGGCTTAAACGTCTCATCCGAAAGACGGTGCGCCACTGTAACTTGTATTTCAGCCCTCCAACTGAAACACAAGGAGAGGCAGTGATGGGAACTGAACCGGGGACCTAGAGATCTTCACGGTTCAGCGCGCACACAGTGGCTACCGCCAGATTAGGCGACAGAGCTAAGCTGCTATGTAGGCCTAACTATACCTCAACAACAATAAAATCTGTCCATCTCCACTTATAATTTTATTTATTGATAATAGCCAACATAGTCAGCTTAGATGAATTCGATTTTTTTTTATTTTTTTATCGTGGCACTATTGTGAGTTTGTATGGAGGTGAATTGTGAACTCCGGCGTAAATCACGCCATCAGCGACGTCAGGAAGCGTTTCGCCATCCGCTGCTTCAAATCCGTAACGTTGGTATATGACGGTAATAAAAAGAAACATCACCTTCTTAGCAAATCCTTCACCTGGACATCGCCTTTTTCCTGAAATAAAACAAAACCAGTTAAAGCCAGCTAAAATATAAAATATTATAATTTATTTAGACACAACACTTTGCGTAATAGGGACACATTCACACTGCATGCGATTGTGGTCGTTAGTGTGGTGATGATGGAGAAGATAATGGTGAAAAAGATGAGAACGATGATGGTATTGATGATGATTATAATTATTAGGCCCCTATTCTAATATTGTGATATTTCACCGTTTCCATCCACACTTGAATATTCATCATTGCCAATATAACATAACAAGACCAAACGGAAAGTACGAGTCTTTGTTGATGTCCAGCTGCCAATCACTGTCCAAGAATCGGTCTTGGTTAAACCTTTCAGGATCCTCCCAGTAGCACTCATCATGATGCAGCCCCAAATATTGCCAAAAACGACCGTACTCTTTCTGATATCATAACCTTCAAAATTGACATCATTCTGCGTCGCGTGCGGAACGAGCTGCGCCGCTGGGCACGCCATGCGCAGTGTTTCGTAAATGGTGGCATCGTCGGGACCCTGTCTCCAAGCACTGAACTCACTTCTTCCTGAATCTAATATAATGGATAGGAATGAGTCTATTATTAGTCATGAAGACTTATAAAGTCATACTGAGAAAGAGAGTTATATTTGTAGGTCTATTGACGTTCTCTTCGTGTATTGTAAATATTACTTTATTCCAAAAATAGAAAAGATACAATTGTCGATTCTAAAGATTACCGTATTTCTTTTGCCTCATTTCCAAATAATTTTATATAATATAATTATATAATTATTATTATAGTTTTTCCACTTGTTTGCACGGATGCCGTGTGGTACTATAATTATAATTATTGATTGACTGATGCAAGAAATGCTAATTTTTATCGGAGGACAGTATGCACTTAGGCAATGGTGAATCCAAGAGTTTGAAAAAAACCGGGGCCAAAGGAAAGAAGTTTTGTAGAGGTCAAATCTATTTCAGTCCCATTTAGGTGATGGATATACCAAAGATTTTTTTTAAATTTTTTTTAAAGCTATGGCAAGTTTGTCAGTGAAAGACACCCAGTGGTGGATCTCAAATGAATAAGGGGAATCGAATTATCAGATAAGGGGATAGGGCTACTAGTAGTGGCGTAACGAAAAGCAGGAAACCCCAATTGGAAAGTAGTGGTTAAATGTGTGCGAGGAAGGCTCATTGGACCCACCCCCGACACTGTCAAACTCTTGAAACTCTTTAATATATTGAACGTAATCATTTTCTCGGGGGTGGCTCGAACCAACTTTAATTCCTGCCTATAAGGATCAGCTACAAGTATAAATGAAGGTTTATCAACTACTGGAATCGGATAAGTAGGCCTTGTTTTATGATTAGGCACATTATTGGGATTTGATTCTAAAAACAAACTTCTTTGCCTAGAATGCTATGTGAAAAGACGTACCTTAAGTTGGACATGGGGGTGCTTGGTGATGAGAAGAAGTAGCCACTGCAGCGAATTTTTAAGTGTCATCGATGCTAGCATCAAGTTTATTATGTGAGGAATACAATCTTCAGCTGGGAAATCGCTCCCGCCTCCCCTTCTTTAAGTAAACGTCTATAAGATCATCAAGTGTGCTGTCGTCTTCTACGTGCTCGCGCGCTTGTAACTGTTTATTTATAAGGCAACGTGGATTTTTCTGAAACCATTGTAGAGGCATGTTGACAACAAGAACGGAAATAGGTTTCCAGGCTCTCCCATCAGATTCTTTCGTGCCTTTCGAGTTGCATTCGTGAATTTAACCAATTCTCTAAAACTTGGATCGTCGTATGAACAACGTTTACCACTTTGAAAACAAAATGTAGAAATGAGGTTTAGACTGGCTTCGAAGGTCGTTCGTCAATCCTTAAAAGTTAGATTTTCGAAAAGCCCATTTGACCTTCCCAGACTGTTAATCAAAAATGTAACAAATCGTCAGAACAGGGCTGGAATACGCGCGTATCCTAGAAACACTCGTGTTGTCTTACAAACGCATGTGTTTGCGTATGTTTTAACATTGTCGTTTTGTGTGATCTTAGCAACAATCCAAGATGGCGGGCTTAGCGGAAGGGTCCGATGTCCCCGAGAAGGGGAAAAACTTCCCCGACAAGAACAAAGTGGGTTTGGTCGGACATCACTTTAAATGCCTCAAAAGTGGTCTAGGTGCAAAGCCTCCGAAATTTTGACAATTTAGGGGTTTCAAACGTTTATTTAATCGATTTTAGAATCTACTAATATGTACACAATAGACCCTGTCTCTTATACTCGACCGGGGTGGGGAGATCTCTCCCCGAAGAGGGGGAATTGTTGGTCCTCTTACTTTTCGTGAGTCAAGAAAATGTACCTGAAATTTGTTGACATAAATGCGTAAATGATCCAGGTTTTAACGAAAGAGCGCTGTACAGCCAGAGTACATTTTATTTTATAGCAAGATACCTGTATCTCTGCACAGAAAGATCTCAATTACCTATAACACTCGACTCGAGTGCTCGTGCTTTTATTATAATTTGAGAAGTATGAGAAAAAATGTGCAAAGACATAAGATTGGGTTTCGGCACATGAGTAGTATTTTCTATGGTTCATCACAGCGATTAATTAGATCGATAATGATGAATACTATATAAAAGTGTCATATCCGACAATCTAGAGGTACAATTTCTCCAAATTTTTTATCACCTCAGCCTCAACTGTGGTGGAGCTGAGAGACGTGTGGACTCACAGTGTTGAAGTAATTAAAGTTAATACACCAAAGACTATGTTTTCAAGTTTTATTTTCTATTGTAACGTACATCACACATACTAATTAGATCTCTATGGTTGCCGAAAATAGCTGATAAAAGATCAGGAGAATTTGTTGGCGCCTCATTTTGTCTATATTATTATAATGGTGATGTGATGATGGTTTTTACTATTTAAAAATGCCATTTCTTGCCATCTAGAGGCCAGTACTATTTCCTCAAAATTTTCTCACCTTAACCCCAACCATGGCGGGCTGATTTGAATGTGGCCACACGGCTTTGAGGTAGGTCGAGTACATTAAATACATCAAAGCAAGTGTTTCTTAAATTTTATTTTCACGGCTTTGAAGTAGATAGAGTAAATACATCAAAGACAATGTTTTTAAGTTTTATGTGTACATTACACATACTAATAATTAGATCTCTGTGGTTGCAGAAAATCGTTGATACTTTTGACTATATAATAGTAATGTGATGATGAATTTTACTATATAAAAGTGTCATTTCCGGCCATCTACAGGTACTATTTCCTTAAATATTTGCAGGCACCCCCTACCGCCAAATCCTGCATCCACTCCAGTATATCTTTACTAACTTCTGCCGGCCTATCCTTATTCATGGGACACCCTAGTAATGGGTAGTGGCGTAGAAAAATATTTTTCATTGGGGGAGGGGGGTGTGACTGGCGTGTTAGCCAGTCTCGTAACAGGCGCGGTGGGGGGGGGGGAAACTGCCCCTCCCCTGACGGTTTTTACCGGACTGACCAAGCCGTCGTACCGGGCTGGGTAATAAGAGAAAAGAAAGAGGGGAGAGGTAGAGAAAGAGAAAGAAGAGGAAAAGAAAAGGAAAGAAAAAGAGAGGAGAAAAATAAAGACAAGAATAAAAAGGAAGATATCATAATGACCAGACTCACAACTTCAAAAACTGTCATAACTTCTTTGATCTATGCTGCCCGATGGCGTAACCACTGGGGGACAAGGGGAAAATATCTATCTTTGAAAAATCTTCCCCACCCCTTTATAAATGCCCTTTTCATCCCCTGAAAGTGCCTAAAAACCTCAAACTTCGTGCGCAATTCTTGTTAACACGGCCCAATTTCCTCTAAAAATTGCACATTTTAGGGAGTTTTGATCAATTCCAACGAAATTAGAATTAAAAACACCGGGGGACAAGGGGAAAATATCCATCTTTGGAAAATCTTTCCCCACCCCTTGACAAATGCATCCTCTGAAAGTGCCTAAAATTCTCAAATTCTTTGCGCGCATTTCTTGTTACGGTAGGCCAATTTCCTCTATAAATTGCACATTTTAGGGAGTTTTCATCAATTCCGACGAAATTAGAATTAAAAACACAAAAATATTTTGCGCGCTTGGCGCGCATTTTTTAGGGCTTTTTTTAGTTTTATCCCTTTTTAAGTTATTTAAACACATAATAGTCCCAAACACAAGAAAGACACATATAAGATAGATCATTTTAACCTAAAAGAAGGGCCTCAATGTGTATAGATGGTAAAAGAATATGTTTGTAATAAATAAAACCATGATGAAAATGCTTATATTTAGTTTCAAACACACGTGTGTGGCCTATATTATCAATAAGATAAGCCATATGTCGTATTGTTTTCTATATGGGGAGTGGGTGGGGTGGGGTGGGTATGGTAAATTACTAACTGGGAAATGAGGATTGTATGTTATTATTATTATTATTATTATTATTATTATTATTATTATTATTATTATTATTATTATTATGTTGTAATGATGTTGTTTGTACTGTTCTTTAATTTTATTAAAGAGGGCCCCTGAATATCAGTTAACCTACTGGGCTAAACTGGAAGGGTTACGGTACCCTCTTTAAAGATGGTTGAAATAAAAAATTAAAAAAAAAATAAATAAATAAATACCCACTCTGACTCAAGACCCCTGTTACGCGCCTGGTGTTAGCGCCAATGTGTGCCCTTGTGCGGACAGGGGATGTGCCCCCCTCTGAAGCTGGAAACTTCAAAATATATTGATGCAATTTGCTATTATAGGCCTAATAAATAAATTCCTCATCAACCGATATAACCTTAAACATTCTTGGAATTGACATAACATTACTGATGTCGTACACACCCTTTAGTGTGAAATGTGGCTCTCTTTGCAAGCACATCTAACATCTAAGTAAAGAAGAGCTTAGATTGGTACCAGATAAAATAATTTTGTTATCAACATTAATACATTATGCTAATTTTCATCTTTGTAAGCGCATAAGACAGTGCAAATTATTTCTGTGACCGTCTTTGTGTGTAAAGCTCCATTTTATCCCATACATAGTCAAAATATTGGGGGGAATGATACAATGCACCTGTCTCTTATACACATCTAGATGTGTATAAGAGACAGGTAGTTATAAGAACTGTCTCTTACTATGGTAGTGGTGACACTTGTGTTTGTCCGTCCCGAAGGTGTCCACTTAATAGTGGTTATATTTTATTTAAAATTATGAATTGTTCATGTGGTATTACTTAAATTTCCATCTTATTTGGATATGTTATGCAAAATAGTAATAGAAATACCACTTCTAAAGCGCAATGAAATATACATCAAATTTGGTAACTAGATGATTGTTTAAATAATTATATTATTAATGGAGATAATTTAAATAAATGCATATTACATTTAAACAAAACACACATAATTAGTAAACGAAGTAATTTCGTGTAATTGCCTTTATTAGGTAAAAACCCCTCTATTGTATATCAATTAATGTACTGTACTATGTATTTAGCATCAGATATGTTATAAACTATTGATATTTGTATTTATTGGAATGTTAATTATACAGACTATAATTTATTATGCATTACGTATGTAATTAATTAATACAATAGTAATTATAATAATAATGAATAATGAATTAAATAGTAAGGTCTAATTAATAATCATAATGAAACAAGTACCGAAACAGGATAAACGATTGTTGAGCATGCGTAGTGTTCTTCTTTCTTTCAGCCAATCACATTAATTATTCAACTGTTAAAATAAAAAAAAAGGGAAGAAAATCATTATTATTTATTAAATTACTTTAGGAAATATATTAATTATTAGGCCTATAATTACGTTTCGCAAAATGCAAGTATTCAGTCAAGCACTGTAGATCCATAGGGAAATGGTCTTTCTGCAGTGGTGCTTACAGTACTGAATATTAAATTGTCAGCGTTTTCCTTTAATTCTAGTTAGTTCAATATAACATCGCCATAACCTTGTCATTTGATTGGTTTGTTTAACAACACATTGGGTTGGCCTACCATTTAACGAACGAAAACAAACTTATTATAGAAAGACTTGAGACAATAGACCTCTCCGAAGTGTCAGTCAAACTTAACAATTCACTAATCAGAGCAGCACTAGGAATACGCGCGCGTCTTACAAACACACGCGTTGTCCAACAAACGCACGTGTTCGCCTATGTTTTAACACTGCCGTCTTGTGGGACCTTAGCAACAATATCCAAGGGGCGGAGCTTAGCGGAAAGGTCCATTATATGTAACTTAGCTTCAACTTATACTGTACTCATTATTTTATGTTTCGTTCCTTTCCAAAATGAAATCTTGGAACTGTAAACTTAGTATCTTGAACTTAAAATTGATCGAGTTCTTAGTCCACATATCAAGTGCCCTGGGCATCTTATTTGATGGATACGGCGCTATTTAATTATTATTATTATTATTATTATTATTATTATTATTATTATTATTATTATTATTATTATTATTATTATTATTATTATTATTACTATTATTATTATTATTATTATAACTAAATGATTGGTTAAATAATTATATTATTAATTGAGATAATAAATAATAAATCCATATTACATTGAAACAAAGCACACATAATTAGTAAACGAAGTAATTGCGTTTAATTGCCTTTATTAGGTAAAAACCCCTCTATTCAATCAATTAATGTACTGTACTATGTATTCAGCATCAGATATGTTATAAACTATTGATAGTTGTAGTTATAAGAATGTTGATTATTAATGATTATAATTTATTATGTAGGCTTATTACATATGTAATCTAATAATACAATATATTAATACCATTAATTTAATAATAATAATTATTATTATAATTAATAATAAATTAAATAGTGAGGTTAATTAATAAGTATAATGAAACAAGTAAACAAGATAAACGAGTGTTGAGCATGCGCAGTGTTCTTCTTTCTTTTAGCCAATCACATTGATTATTCGACTGTTAATAATTTTTTTTAAAATGGACGAAAACCATTAATATTTATTATTATAAATTAATTATTAGGCCTATAATTAGGCTTCGCAGAATGGAATTGCAATTATACAGTCAAGATATAGGTCTATAGGAATGGTCTTTCTGCAGTGGTGCCTACAATATTGAATATTAAATTGTCAGCCTTTTCCTTTAATTTTAGTTAAAATATATAACATTGCCACATCCTTGTCATTAGATTGGTGGGTTTAACAACACACGGCATTGGGTTGGCCTATTATTTAACGAAAACGAAATTATTATAGAAAGATTTGAGTGATTTATATATGTAGCTTATTTTTAATTTATACTGTACTAACTTTTTATGTTTGATCGTCCCTTTCCAAAATCAAATCTTGGAGCTCTAAACTTAGTATCTTAAACTTAAAATTGGTCGAGTTACTAGTTCACATATCAAGTGCCTTGAGCATCTTATTTGATGAATACGGTACGCTATTTAAAACTACATTATTATTATTATTATTGTTATTGTTGTTGTTGTTGTTATTATTATTATTATTATTATTATTATTATTATTATTAACTTTCCCTGTTAGTATTAATAGAAATTTTACTAACCGAATAACAAATGATCAGTGCAAAATTTTGAACATCCTTCTATTTTTTCTTGTACTCATCTTCTTCGTCCTGTATATATGAAAAAAAAAAACATTCTTCAGGCGTGATGCTTCGGATGCGTATTGTTACAAACATAAACATATATTTCAGCCATTATCTCGTTCGTACGTGTTTATCTAGTATAAACCGCCGACTGAGCTAAAGTAAGAGTCCAGGAATGAACAGTCGGTGCTTCATACTAGATATTTATCACGTACGTACGAGATAATCAAGTCGTAAGTACGAGATGCTCGTACGCAGCAATGTATTTTATCTCGGTTTTAAAATGAATTTAATTAACCAACTTTCAGAAGATAGTCTCCCGATAAACAAAAAAACAAAAAAAAAAAAGAAAAAGAAAATTAGCTAAAAACAGTACATCAATCAGAAATGCTAAAATAAACGATTACAAACCTCCTCTTCTTTCGAGCCTTCCTCCTCCTACAAGATATAAAAATAAAAATTAAGAAGCATTGATAGGCCTATGTTAAGCTTTATTTCATATTTTTATAAATTAAAGCTAAGTGTTTTTACAATATAAATCACTAAACAAACGAATTATAGTATTTTATCAACATCTACATCATCATCCTCATCAGAATAATCTTTATCATAATCTTCATTATCATCTTCATTATTATCTCCATCTTCACCTTCATCTTATTAATACTATGCCATTTTGGCACCGTCGTTAGCCTATTATTCACATACCTCGAAATTTTCCCACAAGATATAATAATGAAAACTAAGCATAGGTCTATGACTTTTACAATAAAAATCACCAAAAAGGAATTATAGTATTCGCATCATCATCATCATCTCTATCTTCTTCATGTTCATCATCATCATCATCATCACCATCATCATCATCATCATCATCATCATCATCATCACCATCATCATCTTCTTCTTCTTCATCGTCATCTCCATCATTACCTTCATCTTATTAATACTACACCATAATTATCGGTACCATCGTTAGCCTATTATTCACATACCTCTTCCTACAAGACATAAAAATAAAAATTAAGAAACACAGACTAGTTAGTTAGTTTCATATTTTAATATATTATCATGTCATATCATATCATAACATTTTTTCGTCATTTACATAAAATAATACAAAGAACGTAAACGTACAAAAACATGACAAGTGTGACAACAAAACATCAGTTGATACCTGACAGGATTGCTCAAAAGTGAATAAGTTCACTGTCGAGGAGCCTCTCAGATATCAGCTGGCCAAACTAAAAATTATTTTATATTAAATATACTTTAAATAGGACATGTACATATTGTTAAAGCGTTATATCAGCAAACAAAATTTAAAACACAGTTGAAATAATGGTTTATGTAAAAATTAAAATATTAAAATTGTAATAAAAAGTAATTTGAACATGTACAAAATGACGTTTAAGAAGACTAAGAAAGTTTTTAGTTTTGCGTGTTTGCATTTTGCTTGTATGTTGTTCAATTGGATCAAATTAAATTAAATTGCATCTCGATGATGTACTGGCAGTTTATCCCATGGAAATGATAAAATGGCATTTGCCATCAAATGACATGATACAATTTTAGCATAATATGCTAACATACAATTATATTGATTATATTGCATATATATATATATACTGTCTCTTATACACATCTAGATGTGTATAAGAGACAGGAGCTAAAGTAGAAGAAAGTCTCCACATATCACCATATTTTGCGAGCTAGCACCCACTCACTTCACCCTTCCCCCTTCTTTTCAAGACTCCTAGATAAGCCACTGTACGTGATTTGTTGTGAATTACAGTTATTTATAGTTTCAGTAGGCAATGATTTATTTAGTAATTTATTTTACATTATTTGAACAGTATTTTACAAGGTAAATAATATGTACAGGTACCATGTTTTGTGACACAGTATTTATACTCTTTTTACTATAACGCTTTTAGAGAGCCTTTGTGCATTTGTTAATGCCCCACAAGCAAAGGTTTTCTTTTTTTCTGTTAAAATGTTTCAGTTCACTTTTTCTTATAGCATATAAGCTCTTGTGCACTCATTACCATACTACCAGCAGTACAGTAATTTTATATTATACGACATTCAAAAGCAGAAGTTCCGGCTGTTGCAGCTCCGGCAATTCACACCACCATGGTGTTACCATCTTGTAGTTTTAATCAGTTTCTACTCTATATAGTACACCACACATTTTTTTACTACTCGGGTAATGAATTCATAAAATGTCTACAGGTTCATAAGAAATAAAATATTAGCCTTAACTTTAGAAATTTTTTTTTTAATTTTAAATATTGAGGATGAATATTTTTTGAATTTCACTTCAGGAAACTGAAAACAAAATCAACCAAGGATATTATAATCTACCCGAGGTGCCAGACCAGGTTTTGTATGGAAAGCCGAGTTAGTCAAAAATACCAAACACAATCCATTCAACAACAATTCAAACGCACCAAATTCAAACCATTCAAACATATTCCAAATGATTCAAGTCACCATTCAGGTAATACTCACACCATCACATTCAAGGTGTGACCATCTACCCCTAAAGCAAACCACAATATTCAAGACAATCTAATATAAACTCAAACCGTCTAATGAATACTGAAACCGATCAGTCATAAATTACTTAATTCGACGTCAAGACAAACATCTATTCATTCACGTCTTTCAGTTAAAACAACATCATCCAACATAAAAAAGCATTTCGTTTACTCGTTTGCTCAAGCATTAAGCGTGAAGCTAATTTATTCAGTTGTTTTTCGTTCAACTACTGTGAACACCGAACAATGCAGTGATAAATCAGTTCACTACTTTTAAAACGCCGAGTTTTCAAATTACTACAATTCATACAACTACTGTACTGTGTACACCGAACCATGCAGTGATAAATCAGTTAATTTAGCGGAGATATAAGGACCCTATTGCTATGACCTTGAAATGTGTCAAAGGTCAGAAAGGTCATTTCCTGTCATTTTTAATAAAAATGCTCTATTAGAGCAAATAGAACAAGTTCGAACAATTTGGCACCAAATTTAACTCTCTATTACCCGTGGTTGCGGAGATACAAAGACCTATAGCTTTGACCTTTCCCCACATTTTGAAAATATGTTACCAAGCCAAAAATGATTCTTGGACCACCCTGAACCAATTTCCGAAGTCAAATTCTCTGCATCTCAAAGTGCATACAAAACCTGGTCTGGCTCCTAAGGTAACCGACATATATTTTAGTAATGTTTGTAAATACAATTTTTTTCATAATTTTTTATGTTATTTTCTTTATAACGTGTATGGATTTTTTAAATGGCATCTATACTGGGTAGGTTTATATCTTAGGAGTTTTAAAACAGAGTGGTAACTTAACAACTAAATAGGAGGCAACTACTTTACTGGAACATACAAACAGTATGACGTTTATTCAAGGCAACACAAATGTGCTTGTCAATTCAAATAGAAGATCTGCACAAAAAAAAAAAAAAAACATTTGAGGGGCATAATGTTGAAGATCGAACGAATGCAGCTAAATTTCAGTTAATTACTTTAGTAATTAATATAGATTTGATGAACATAGAATCAGGATTCTATTATGGAGTCGATGGTCAAGAAAAAATATAATTTCTGATTATTAAGTCTTCTTGATCCAGCTTAAAATAATACCATAACACTACTATTTTGTCAGTTTTTGTGCAATACCTTGTGACAACAGAACATTTTCTCCTGACTCCATATCTATGAATGTAATATTCTAAAAGACTCGTCAAAGTAGACAGAAACACAATAATATCTACTTTAAGATCTTGTAAGGCCAAATTTAAGGAAAAATGTCATGTTAAACTGTCAAATAGGAACATATATCTAAGTAATTTTTAGACCAAACCTATGTCTCTACAAACAGGCACAAAAATAAGGAAATCTTCCAAAAAAAATAAGGTCATAGGTCAAATATCACATTTCCAGTCACTCCTGGAGAAAATGTTACATTAAAGTAAATAGAAATTGTCTTAACAATTTAAAAAAAGAAGCAAGTCTGTATGGCTAGTGGTTGCCAAGATATGCTGCATGTACATCCCTAATTTGCATATCAACTAAGATGTAATTTCACCGCATCTGTGTATTTGGTTTATTATAATTATTTAATTAATTTTTTCCAAAGGCTAGATTTTATTAGACTAATTAAAAAATTAATTTTGTATTACATATATGCTAAAAATACCTGAAATATTTAAAATAGTTAAAATTTAAATTTTGAAAATTTGAAGTGAAATATTATTTTTATTTTTATTTTCACTTATATGAAAGAATATTTTATACATTAGCACCTTTTAATGTCATAAGCGTACAATTATTGGTAATAAAATGCTTGAAAATAGCGGCCATCTGAAATTGCTTGGTACCCCCCTTGTGCATAAAAAAAAATGTAGAACAAAATTTTGTGGACAACTCACCGAACCAACGTCTCGGCGAATTCTACTTTGCTCTGCAAGCTCTGCAAAACGAAATTGAAATAGATAGAATAAAACGCCTTTTGCTGTAGAGTTTAAAGGTCTATGTGTGTGTTTGTGAATGGTGTGTTTGTGAATGTATTTAGTTTTGTAATGGTGAAAATACTTATGCGCACGAATTGTGTAGATTTCTGTTAAAATACATAGAATGAACAATACCAGTAACTACAACTGTCCAAATAGGCCTCTTAATCTCGTAATTTTTTTTATAGTATTTCATGAAAATAGCTAGAATATTTAAAATAGCGGCCATTTTGAATTTCAATTTGAAATTTGAAAATTTGAAATGAAATGTTATTTTTATTTTCATTTTCACTTATATGAAAGAATATTTTATACATTAGCATTTTCTAATGTCATAAACGTACAATTATTGGTAATAAAATGCTTGCAAATAGCGGCCATTTGAAATTGCTGGGTAGCAGCATTGCGCATTAAAAATTGTGGCACATAGGCCTACTTTTATATTCAGTGATGTCTATTCTACAACTATATTCATTTTAAACAAAATGTAGCAAAAAATAAATAAATAAATAAATAAATTAAAAAAAAAAAATCAAGCAACCAAAATTTCCTGGACAACTCACCTATGTCTTGTTGAATTCTAGTTTGCTTTACAAGCTCTACAAGACGAAATTGAAATAGATAATAAAAAGTAAAAGTAAAAGGAGAACAATGATTTTAAATATTCGTATTAGTGGCTGTATTGCGAATTCTGAAAATATTTTTATAAAAACAAAAAACAACATCAACTTTAAATTTTGTCCTTGTTATCGTGGCAGTTGATGTGGAGAAGTACAGTATATAGAATTTAATTAGGACCGGACAAAATATACATAAATACACGTTTCAAAAATACGCCAGCAAGAAAGGAGAATAAGAGCAAAGTTAAACATATCCAACGTTGAAATGACAAGTTTTTTCGCAGGTTATGTTTATATTTGAAAATATTAATTGCAAACAAAATTACAATTCAGCTGGTAATAAAATATATTAAATATTTCTAAACTATCGCATCTTCACCTGTGCTGGTAAAACGTACCATTTTCATCAGGTAAGGCGTCAGCAAAGACATATTCAGTCAGAACACATACTATCAGGAATACAGCCAACACTTGCAGGGTACTAAAATAAAAATACTCATTGTAAGCAATTGTATTCTGCCTTACCTTCAGACGGGAAGATCTCTTTCACGAATTAGTATTACTATTGCTTTTGAAGCAATGTAAAGCCGGGGGAGTCACTGCGCTCTACGACGGTCGTACTACCGCCGCACGACGAACCAACTCCCGCGCGCTCCCTGTAAGAACTAGCCGACGCGACGTCGTCTGCTCATTGTTCGCGGCAGTTTGTACAGATAAAATAATCTTTACTTGAATCTTCAATTTTACAACAGTGGTACACGATGACGGTGCGTTTACAAAGGTGACAAAACAGACAATACAACACTATACAACAAATATGAAAACAATTATATATTGAGGGTAGGCCTATATGAAAACATTGTGTTAAAAAAACGACTAAAATAACTTAAAATAAAATTGTTTATAAAAGAGAGTTATAATGGGTTAAAAGTGGACACTGCTTCCACATATTAAACATACCATTCAATAAGCCGATTCGTAGATTCAACTGTGCATGCTCGTATCCAAGTTCAATCGACATAGTATGCTGTCTGTATATTTATGCCAATTGACCTTAATAAGGGCATCCGCGGTTGAAACTACGAAGGTTTTTGAATTCGAACTGTTTGTATTTTTAACGATTTGTAAAGAGCAAACATCACCACCAAAACAGGTGCTCAAGGCGCAGTGTCTAAAAATGAACAACAGTAGAGAACAAACAAGAATCACAGACATCACAAGAAAAATAGGCTCCCAGCGGGAGCGTCTGTCTATTGCTTATGTATACCCTCGCATAGTAGCTTATAATTAGTAGGCCTAATCAGTGGACGACTAGCCCATCGGGATTTATCCTAATAATAATAATAATAATAATAATAATAATAATAATAATAATAATAATAATAAATAAACAACAACAACAACAACAATAAATAATAATAATAATAATAATAATAATAATAACAGTAACAGCAGCAGCAGAAGCAGCAGCAGCAGCAGCAGCAATAATAATAATAATAATAATAATAATAATACTAATAATAATAATAATGCTGCGCACATCTCCACCAATGGTGCTCAAAGACGCAGAGCACTAGCTAGGGCTGCTACAAGTACTGTACGACTCTGAACCAGCATTATGTAGACTGAAACTCGACGAAAAGAAAGAAGTCTCAAATCTCGAGTAAATACGCCTCAAAGCTCGAGAAAATATGTAAACTATTAGTACAATGTTTCAAACATTTGCATAAGGATAATTCATTTTTATTATGATCAGTTTTAAGTATTTCACCAATAAAAGCAGATAGGCAAGAAATTTAATTTTATTATCCTACTATAAACGTACTTCTATTGTCATCTATATGTATGTGAATATAACCTTGAAAGCAGATGCCATTAAATACGTCCATTTTTTAGTAACATAGTTTGACATTTAAAATTGGTATTATAAGTCAGTGGTGGCGTCATCACTTTTATTTGCGCTGAATTTTCCTATTCCCGACTGATCACTAATCGATACACTGCCTCCGATTTTTTTTTTTTTTTTTTTTTTTTTTTGCGTCTCGTGTTAAAGCTGGGGTGATTTTATTAAAGTACAAAGCAATGGAATATTTCATTGTTAGGCCAAACAATACACGCACACAGTGAACCTAAAGCCGGAAACTCACTGCGTCGTAGGGTCCGCGTCTTCGCGTGCGTTCTTCCTCACGTTGCCGTCGCACGCAGTGAGTAACCGGCTTAAAAATCTCGCACCAGCACTACAAACATTTCACAATCATACAATTAAATAATTTCGTACATTATTGGAATTAGAAGCCTTAGGAACCATTGTTTTTTTCAAACATTGCTTTCAGCCCCTGGCTGCAGGCTTTAGGCCATTTTTTCAGGAAATAATATGGTTCATTCGGCTCAAGACCTGACTAAAATTGTTTATTCACCATCAATTTATTTATTTTCGTACCACCACCGTGAAGAACTGTGCGAAGAGTGTCAGTACGCGTTCTCTTACAAATCATTCTAATACGCGCAGCTAATGCAAAAACGCACAGTGTGATCAACTAATTATGGATTTATGATTATAACCAAAGAGTATAAATAGAACAAGAGAGCAAAGTCCCGTTCGTAAAAACGTCATGCCTGTGTAGGACGCCCACTAACGGTTGTATATTCTTTTTATTACCCAGTGCAGCGCTGCGCAGCGCCAGAGCCATAGATATATATGGCTCTGCGCAGCGCGGTAGAAGTACGCCCGCTATAAACTCAGTAAGCAGAAAACAAAAGTACAGTATCTTGTGGAGAACAGATAAACAGACAAACCTACCGTGCGCGGTGGATTACTGGGTAATAAACATAGAGCTATTAAACAACTAGAGTGCTGACAAGATGGCGGAGCAATGCAAAGTTGTGTATGTGTACCATCCAAGATGGCTGCCGTAGGAAAGCGCCACCTTCAGGATTAGTATACATATTATTACCATAAATAAGCCCTCTGACTGAATATTATTTCATTAATGATAATTAGTATTGATAATGACAAATTATTAAACTGTCGTAGTAGGCCATCAGCTGTAGCTAAAAAAGTGACCAGAAAACAAGTTCCGTTCCAGAATAATGGAGACTACTTTTTGGATGCATATATTGTTAATTCAATCCTTGCTACACATTGTGTTAAAAGTTCTCCGCAATAAAACCTGCAGTTTTTTGTCAGGACACCTCCAAACATGCTGAATATACCCCAAAAAAGCCGGTTTTGAGGTCTGATACCATGTTTAGGCGTCAACAACTTCGCAACTAATTATATGTCATAGTCACAATTTTCAGCGTTAATAGAAGTTATAGTTTTAATTTGACAACTAAAAGCTGGTGATCCAATTCTTATTGGCC